AGAAGCTGAGAGGAGGAGTGAGCGCTTGAGGAAGATGGCGCCGAGGGGAAAGGGTGTGCCTAGGATGGGCCACACTTTGCTGACCGACTCAGGAAGTAGCTCTGACATCACCTTTCAGAAGCAGCAGCTCGTGCAAAGGCCCTGCCAAAAGTTCTGGCCCTGAATAACACAGAAGGGGCAACGGCCAGGAATTGGTGAGGCTATCAATAAGAAGTAATTCGAGGAAGTCTGAGAAAGGGAGATAAATGGGTTAAACAGAAAACCCTAGAAGACTTGAGGCTACACAAGAACACAAAGAGTACTTACATGAAGTATACACAGTCAGAACCTCTTTGCTTTATACACGCAGGTGAGTTTGCAGGGCCGTTACAAGCAAGGACTAAAAAAAGGGAGATTGTTTCCCCTCATTCATCTAACAGTGAAATCTCTCTTCTCTCCTGACCCCCTTAATCTACTTCTGATTTTTTTTACAATAGTGCTAGAGAATTTGGTAACGCAGATGGCAAATCTAAAAGGTACAAATTGACAGTCACATAGGGAAATTCCCAAATTGTTCTTATTAGAGTGTGTATGTGTAATTCTCTCACTCCGGAGACCACAGATTCTGCTCCCATTTTTCAAGCCTTATAAAGACAGCATAATGCTGTTTAAACAGGCATAGAGGTGTTTATTTTAGTCTCTCCATTTCTTCCCAGGAACAACGTAACTCTGGCACTCAGGCAATTATTATGAAAAGAGGGTCAATAAACACACAAAATTCCAGAAGCCTCTATTCTTGCTGTCCACAAAAGCAATGAAGCACAACACCTCCCTAAGAAAGCTTTTGTGAACTTCCCCTGCACACCACAGAGACATCAGGAGGGTTTAATCTATACCATCACCCCGTCCCTTCATTCCAAGTTGGTGCACTGGAATGAAGTTCTAGTCAGTCACTGCCTAGATATCTACCTAGAAACAGCACTTCGGGCCTGGCCCTACCTTGGGAATAAACATGAACACAAATGATAATGAAATGATGTGATTATAAGAGACAAAACCACCACTGTTCATAGAATGCCAGGGTAGGCTGCTCACAAACACCCAACAAAGCAAACCACTCAAATGGAAAAGAAGAGGAAATACACACAGGGCAGAATTTTTAAAAAAAAAAAGTATCATAAAATCCCCAAACTCTATTGATAGATCTATAAAACTTTTTTTTTTTTTTTTACAAATTGTTTCCTCCCCCACATTTCCTTATACACATCATAGACATGCAGCATCCACTTCTAAGGAAAAGAAAATAGACTCTCCATGCCATCCCCACCCCCTCAAACTGCTGTCAGACTCAAGCCATTCTTATCAGAATGATGTTTATGTTCCTTTCCCTAATGGCTCAGGCCCACACATGAGAAACCTACAGACACAGTTACTCTACACTTAGCACATTAACTGCCACGTGAGTTGTATTTAACTCATGCTGCTTTTGAGCCTGGGGCCTTGTGAAGCGTATGTAACTCACACATCTCTACCATGGGAGCCCCATAAACTATTTTTCAAGTTGCATATAACTCATGCACAGAAAACAACAAAAAATAACAAATTTTTCATTAAATCAGAAAGGATCATTTTGTTTTTGAAGTTTTTATTCTAGTTTCATAATAAAACACTGTGACCCCAAGGAAAAAAATTTTTCTAGTGTGGCAGTCAACATGTTAGACATTCACTCAACAAATCTTCACTGAGTGCTCGCTATGGGCCAAACCATATTTTAGGTGCTGTGGATTCACCAGGGAATAGCAGCAACAATAAAACCCATCCCTGCTTTCACAGAGCTTGCATGTTTCCAAAGTCTCTAGCTGATGAGACTGATGAGTAACAAATAAATATATAATACGTAAGGTGCTTAAAAGAAAAACACGATAGGCTAGCAGATCGAGAGGGCTGGCTTGGATGTTATTTTATACGGGTCAGGGAAGGCTGCTTTGACAGGGTAATGCGAGAAGTCCTATTTAAGGAAGCAGAGAAGCTTAGGATAGACATATGGATCACTGGTTCCTTGCTTAGGGCTTAAATAATATTTGAGCATGGAGGTGCGTAGTGTTAGAAAAGTCAAGTTCAAAAATGGTTCCTGTTACATTTCCAAAATGACCAATGAGTATGGACCCTAAATTTAAAAGACTATAAAACTACAATCTTAGGAAGCTCTCGAATGAATACTTTCAAATTGTCATATGGTGCCCAGGAGGGTCTTGTGGAAAGAGTTTCACAGTGGTGACACACATAGCAATTCTTTTTTGTACTATAAGACTGTACTCAATGTTTAAAAACAGTTGTAAATGAGGTAGTGCTGAATCATTGACTATTAGGAGCCAAAGAAGGTAAAATGAAGTCCGATTTGCTTCATTCAAGACTGATACTTAATGCAAGGTTAAACATGTAGAGTCAGAACCACTGGCGGTCATTTAAGTTGATTTTCTCATGTTGTCAATCATAAAATGGGTCCCCGGGGGTGGAGGGGGCCTGGGGTTGCACAGCTAACTGCAGCATCATGCCTGCAACCCAGGGCTCCTGACTCTAGCTCAGTGTGACTGCTGCTCCCTTCCTGTACAAGATACCCTGTCTGGAACCAGTTTAAGACTCCTTTAGAAGCTAGGGCCAGCTGTTGTAATAGAAAGATGGTGGCAGATTTGAGAGGCAGTTGAGGGGACACACAAAGAAGTAAATGCAATGAGTAATGAATTTGGGGTTCAGGGCATGGGAACCGCTCCTTCAATGGCTGCTATGATACCTGTCACACATTCACACACCCACACCCAGACCCTGCCCACGTGCAAACACACGTTCTTTGACAATCGCTTGCCTTCCCTATTGCCATGGGTCTCCATGGAATAGGTCTTGGGGCACCCAGGACACTAAGATCAGGGAAAACAGAAACTCGGTGTTGTAAAAATGTACCAAGATTATGAAAGGTTACTAATACCAAAATTGACTAAGAAAACTGAGAACTATCCCCTCTCTCTCCTCTGAAGCAAAGGCAGTTTTGAAAAGAAAGTCCTTAGCATGCTTAAAGGAGTCCACTAGAATTTAGCATTTTTTTCCCTCTTCCTGAACATA